GTGTGTGAGAATAAATTCAAATACAAGCTGAAAAAAAACCTGTTGATAAAGATCATGTGGCTTAAAAGCTCAAGAACAGCCTGCAGTAAGGCCACTGTGGTCAAAAGTGAACTCTGCGTCTCAGGCGTATTTACTATAATAATACCCATATTAATAATCATATCACACAGGCATAGTTTGAGTAATAAAAAAATCCCTGTCAGTTACAATAAATGTAATATTATCTTCTAATGTAAACTGGCTCCAAAGAAATGAGCCACAGAAGGCTTTAATATCTGCAACGTGAGCAGCGCCAAGTAATCCTCTTTGTTAGATACAGCCTCGCCGTCTGTTATCCAGCCACTGGGTATCCTTACAGTTCAGGCAGGTGACAGCACAAAACACTTTCACCCAACACTCAACCAAACCTTTTTAGTGAAACCTCAGCACGCGCACATTATCAGAGTTTCACACAGGGACAAACTTTTCACGCTTTTTTGAAAGGCGGATATCAAATGCACAAGCCGCTTTTAAGTTAACAAAAAAAGCTCTTTTTTCCCAAGCAAATCCCAGACAGCCTTTGAGTGATGAGACATAGACTATCTATGTCAAAGATAAAACAGGACAGGTCTTCTCTTTGCTCTTTTTCAACAATTTTCAGGCTCTGGCACATCAGAATATGAGCTGTGATTTATGGAGACTAGAGAAAGAGGGGACTCCTGTCACTTTCACAATGCTTCTGGCATCTACCTTGAAGCTACGAGTGACCGTGACCTTGGCTGTGAGTGTGTGATTATGTCTGTGGGCAAGTGCTTGTGCCCAGGTCTGTGTAAGAGTGTAGTTTGTGGCTGTAGCAGCACAGCAGACTCTTATCACTAAGTGCCCTGTGCTGTGGCGCCAATGAGATAACATCACAACACAGCTTCTTTCAGAGCTCTGCCAAACATCCCTCTTCCTGCTCTCAAAACCCTGCTATCTCATCCACAATATTACCGTAGCCCTCATCTTCTAGAAGAAATAAGCCTACCAAAAAGGACTACTACAATATACCATCTCTCAACATAAGAGAGGCACAAGGCAGGAATTTTCAGGCGCCTTTGCAATAAGGGTTCAATCACACTGCGGGACAAGGGGGAAAAAGTCACAATACTGATCACTTCTTATTTTTCTCTAGCAAAAACTATTTTT